AATCGATAGGAAGGGGTGGCCCATTCTATGCCAAGGCACACACGGCGATATGCTAGTAATATTCCTCGTCAGGTCGAATTCTACATGGTCTCCGTAGAAACCATTGTTCTTTATTCTTTCTTTATTCTTTATTGTACACAAAACATAATGTTAATCACAATTCATTATAAACATAATGTACAAAGGCGAGCTTATCTCTAATAAGAGATTTCTTCCAGCAAAACCAACAAAGTGTTGTTAATTTTCGATGAGTTCACCTGTCTTGACCTGCTTTCTTCCTCACCAGCAGGCGAGGTTACCATTCCATTTTAATTTATAAAAAAAACTGGCCTTGAATGTGACTTAAACGATGTCACTCAATCAAGTCGACCTCCACGCGGTTTTCCCTGGAAACCATAGTGGTTAATTCTTGTTCAATTGATCAATACGGACCAACTGATCTGCCTTCAACTTCATCTGTCACTCTTCACTGGTGCCCCGCGGACGTATACCGATAACGCAGGCGGGGTTATCATTCCATCTTCATCCATTAAAAAAAAAAAAACTTAAACGATGTTGAAACTAGGGCACGGATTCCGGAACTCCCAAATTATTGTAATTTCGAAATTTCAAATAAATGCAAAATGCGAAAACATACCAAAGGATACTTGGATCTCTCTGTCGGATTTGTATTTCTGCTGTGGAGCAGTTGTATTTGCATGGCTGTGTTTCGTTTTAAAGATTGGAATATGGCAATGAAATTACAAGGAAATAGACATGCAAGAGTACGCATGCATGAGCAGTTCTCAAGAATAGCAACTCATTAACCCTTTCAGAACTGGCGTGCACAATTTTAGACATAAAATATAATTTAAAAAATAAATATTAAACTCTCAAGCTTTCCGATTGAAAAAGAGTTGTATTCATTTGTTCACTAATAAACTACTCAATTTAGTACTACTTACGAAGTTTTTTAGCATATTTTAGCGTTTTTCGACAATTTGCGACCAGAGCCCCCGTGCGTGATTTCAACTGTACCGGTGAGCTTTTTATTTTATTTAAAAAAAAATTAAATTAGTGCAAGAAATCATCTGGAAACATTATAAACGGATATCTAATTTTATTGAGGTTATGTGTAACGTAATATTTGTGTATTTTTTTATCACCTTATATTGGTAATCTCGATTTTTATATTTGTACTCAATTGTTCCCATCAGGACTCAACCGAGCTTTTTCTCATTGTTAACGTTTTTTTTTTACGAAAATATGTTTTGTTTATATTTTTAACGTTTTGCTAATTATGTTACTAAGATAAATATATAAAATGAATTATGCTATTGTTTACTTATACTTTCAGATGCAAAAACACCAATATGTTCTCATTGGAGGCGTTACAAGCATTAGATGAAGGAGATCTTTCTGACTTGTTGTTATCATCTGATGACAATGATAATTATTATGGAGATTCAATTAGTCCAGCACCCTTAACTGCTAGAGTTAGCACAGATGTCATTCACCAAAACCAAAGGGAGTTACATCCACCTGAATCTGATGACAATGAAGGACCTAGCAAATTGTATGTCGGCGTTCTTCTGGTTTACTTTGACAATTATTTTTCATCATACCATTTACTACAAATCCTAAAACAAAAAGGTATTATGGCCGCATGTACAGCTCGTATTAACAGATTTGTTAAACCACCGTTTTTAAGAAACAAATAAAAAGCCTATGGGTTTTTCTCAAGAAGTATGTAGCAGAGATGGAGATGTAACTGTTGTAAAGTGGTTGGACAATAAGGTTATCTATCTGACTTCCAATTTTGTTGGTGTACGTGAAAAGGACTTGGTAAAGAGATGGTGTAAAAAAGAGAAGTGATATATTGAGGTTGAGCGACCTGAGGTCGTAAAGCGCTATAATCATGCAATGGGTGGCGTTGATTTATTAGATCAACTTATGAGCTATTACAGAACATTTATAAAATAAAAAATGGACTCTGCGTATGATATTTCAGCATTGGATCTGGGAGTTCTTCAGGCATATCGAAAATACCAAATGGATAACGACTTATTAGGCATGTCAAAAAAGCAACGATTTGCTTTACTTTCGTCGTCGCTTGGCTGATAATTTGGTGCTACAAGATAAATTTTCTATCGTCAAAAGAGGTCGACCAAGTAGCAGTAGTAGCTCAACGATGCAAATTATACCAAGAAGGCCAGGAGAGATTCGCCCTGCAGCTGAAATAACTCGTGACGGTGATGGGCATTTCCCAACCCATGATGATGGAACTGGGACTAGGTGTAAAATGGTGGGATGCAAGGGAAAATCCCGTGTCAAATGCATAAAGTGCATAGTTAGTTTATGCCTAACTAAAGACAAGAATTGCTTCTTGGCCTTCCACACATAGATAAAGATATATTTTTTCCTAATTATTGTTCTTACTGTTTTTGTATTTGTGCCAATGACTGATTATGCCAAAAAAAAAACGAATAAATGTTTATTTTATTTCATAGAAAGAATTTACTTAGTTAATTTATGTATAATTTTGGAATAAAAATGTTTTTAAATTGATATTATTTCATTTCATAACAACTTTGCATACCTTATTCTTATTACTATGTAGGACGGGAGTCCACATTTGTGCACATTAAGAAAAACTAGATTTCCTCGAAAAATGTAAAGCAAATTTTTTTTTATTTTTTTATAGTCTCCTTATTATGCTTTAGATACATGGAATTTTCCAAATCCATCGGAAGAAAAAAAAATTCAGGTCTGAAAGGGTTAATAGTATCATGAGAGATACAGTATGGATATAACAGAGAGACAAGAATACCACTGAACATTCATGTCTATAGGCGACAGTTACCACTTTCCATTAGGTGGGCCGTCAGCTCGTTTGCCATTCTAAGTGGTATAAAAAAGGACTTGGCAGTTGCGAGAGAATCGCCTTTATAAAAATTATGGTAGCATTATCCAAGTGAATGATGGAATCCTGAAGTAAATCCGCCCATATTTATTATATTTAACTATTCTTAACCTGCGGCTTGGCCCTAAAAGTTTGTTTGTCGACGATATGGTTTATCTGGGTAACAAATTTTATTAAATTTCGACAATTTTTTTTGCGTTATATAGTCACGAATTTCTATAAATATACTAACACTTACAAATTTTTACATTGATAATAATAATAATTAGATGCGTAACTACAATAGTTATAGCTCTTGTGTGTATTTTTTTTTTACTAAAATTACCATACATCAATAAATCTTTATTTATATATATGTATAGGTGTATTTATATATATGTATGTTAATTTATTTTTTTAATTTGATAATAAGTACTTATAATTATTTTCCTTAATGTTTTACTGTATTAACTTTCTTAATTATACAATATTATCGTACTTGTACAACGATTAGTCCATTACCTTAAGGCTGTTTTGGAATTTTTGCTCTCAGTTATGAGATCGCCTTCTTGTACTTATACAACTGTATCGTTAAAATTATTAATCGTCTTGCTTATTGCCTATATTGTATAATGCGAATAAAGTATACTCATTTATTCATTCCAATCGAAAATTATGTCGGTTTTCGCGAGGGCACTGTCTTCACTAATAATTATTATACTATACTTAGTATTTATAAATATTTATTTAAGTATTAGTAATTATAATTTATAAATAAAAACAATGAGTTGAAGACTGACAAAATTAATGCAATACTAATGACGTAATTAATACAACGAACTAACATAAGAATGAACTGTTGTTTGATAAAATGTACCTAGTACCTAATACCATAGTATATGTAATAGTATTATTTAAAAATTATAGATTATGTTTCGCAAAAAACCGACTTCAATTGTAGCAAATCTTGTTATTTTGATTTAAAAACTAAAGAATTGAATCGATTTTGATAGTTTCTATGGGACCAATCTTTCAAAGATGTTCTTTCAGATAAAAAAAAAATACTAATTTTTTTTTCTAGATCAGTTTACAATTGATGGAGTTACGAGGTTTATGACAATGAAAAAAAATACTACCGAATTGAGTACCTCGTTTTTGAAGTTAGTTGAAAATGTTTATACACTGTGCGTTGTAGCACGTTGCGAGCGATAGTTAACATTTAGGCAGTTTTTATATGAAACAATAACAGTTTACAATGTAATTATAATTTCTTGTTGAATTTATTGAGGATTTTATTATTATACATACAATTCTTTGTCTTGAGTTTTTATAGTGAAACCAAAATCTCTAGTTATGAACAAATATGATTTTATTACCGGAAACTGACTTCAGACTTGATAATACTAACACACAAAGTATAAATAAAAGTATATACCTGCCTGTAAATAGCATTATTACGCAATTTGAAGTGTGAATGAAACTGTTTATGCCAATGACTTAAAAAATATACACTACCTTATACGGTCAGAAAATAACTGAATAAATGTTAAGAATATATGAACAGATTGCAGCGATACCTTGTTACATAATTTAAAAGGAGGGGTGGCGTGATTGATTAACGATAAGAGTAAATAGGATAACTAGTCTTTCTTATTTGTAAAAAAAGAATATAACATATTGGGGTCAATTCTGGGCGGATATTTTTTAAACTAATCTCTAAATTTTAAATTTCAATTTGAGCGAAATCTTTATTGTGAGGACCAATGTATACTGACTTTCTAATAAATTTAAGGTGAAAATTGTTGTAATTTTAGTTTATGATGGTCTATAAAAATTTTGTTTCATAAAATTATCAAATTAAAATATTAAGAGATAAATTTAGAGAAATTGCACCTCAGAATCGATCCCATTATCAGTATATATTAAATTTATTTATTGATACCTACTAATATATCTTAAAAAAGAGAGTATTCTCTTAATTTAATTATATTCTTAATATTAAAATTTGTATTATACGCTTTCATTGATTTCTTTCAAGCTAATTCTTAGTAGAGCATCATTTAGTATCATTTTACATATGACAACATTGATATACTCTATGGTAGAAAATTCTAAACGGCAACTGGCATCACTGCCACTGTGACGTCACGTAAAATAGGCTGACGACATCTTTTTAGACTTCGCAATAAAATGGTTTTCACTAGCTTTTCGTAGTGTTTCTACGTTTTATTGTGTTTTTGAACATTCATAGACGCTAAATTATATTAGTGTTGTGTAAATTTCCCTCAGTGCGATGGGCAGTTTTTAATTTTTGTGAAGGCGAGTGATGAAGGAAAAAGAAAATGGCTACCTTCGAACGCATGTTGTTAGCCAGGAAACATGTAATAATAGCTGAAAGATACAACGTTATTCGTAAAATAGGCGGTGGTAGCTTTGGAGATATCTTTTTAGCTATAAACATCAACGATGGAGAGGTAAATTTTATTTCCTAACTATTTTAATTGAATGCTCAGAAATGGCGATTTCTTGTGTCAAAGGGGCCATGTATTTCAAGAATTTACTTGTTGAAAATGGCGGTCTGGGCGTATTCTTGAATGAATTAGGGTATCAATTTATGATATGTAAAAGATCTAAACGTTTTGCGAGTTTTCCATTTAGGTTTCTCACTTTTACGTAATGAGTGCCTGCTAAAAAATGTCTACAAGCTGGAACTGTGAAAGGACTCCTTTGTTAAAATGGTCTAGGTACCGTAATCTTTTGTCCATGTTGAACTAGGAATTATCAACACGCAGACCTCTACTAATACTTACAGGACTCTGATTTCGTTAATTCTGATACTGGACAAACAGTTTACTACTTTAAAGAATTTAGGTCATACATATATTTTTTGTATATAATTCATGTGTATTACTGATATGATCGATGAAATATAACACTAATACATAAAATTGAAAGTTATTAACTTTGGGTGTGTTTGTGACAGTTGTTCATTTTCATATTTCCAAACTATGTATAACAATGCCATATGCCATGATTATGCAATTTAGGACAGCCAGCTGAAATAATTGCAGCTGTCTGTCTATATTAATACAATATGAAAAAAAAATATTTTAGACTGTACAGCAGTACATTATTTTAATAAGAGAAGAAATTTAATTAAGCAATATTTATAGTAGAGTGGTAAATGATGTGTTTGAATCTCAGCTGGACCATTTTAGGTAAAGATATATTTTGTCTGGTTACTCATAAATGTAGTTTAAGATAAATTAATTGGTTTAATTGTGACTTACAAGTTTGTTAATTTATATGATTGTCTTGCCATCAGATGATCTATATACTTGTTTTGTAAAAATCACATGCAGTAGTAGTTACCATAGAATACAACAAGTACAGTTGCCATAGTTAAAGTTAGTTTTTTTTGTTGATCAGAGTCTTAAATTATTTCATGGCAAATAGGTAACTGAATTAACAGTTATAAATAACTAGCTTTTACCCATAACTTGGTTCATGTGAGTGGGATGATGGCTGACTGCAATAAAAAGTAATCTTATTATGTCTTTACTCATTCTATGTAGTACATTTATACTAAATTTCATAATGATTGGTTGAGCTGTTTAGATATTAAGAGGTAACCAGTTTACCAGAGGGATGCTTTGTACAAAAGTTGATTGCTTGGGTACCTCTGCCCCATTCGTGTTTCAACCGTGAAGCAGTTTGCATGGCTGTGTTTCGGTTTGAAGGGTAGGATATGGTGTGAATTTACTGGGTACAGAGGAATAACATCTAAGTCTTCAGGAATGGCAACGCATAGAGGGTATCATGGGAGAAACAGTATACTCTGTTATGTCCGTGGTACTGCTCACGTCTATAGGTGATGGTTACCACTTTCCATCAGGTGGGCCGTCAGCTTGTTTGCCAGTCTAAGTTGTATAAAAAAAATAACAAATTTTCATATTTATAGTGTTAGGATTGTATTGTGACTGACAGTGGAGGTAATATATATAATTGCCTGTATTAATATTGGTCAGTCTTTAACATTATATATTAAAAGTCACATGCACACTATTGCTTGCAATATTAAACAAAATTGTACTAATCAATTAAATAATTGAACAGTTTTTTATTTATATTATCATTTTTAATTTAAAAAATGAAAGTGAAATGAAAATCTGATTGATTTTATATTTGCAGACAATTATTGGAAATGAAAACATGTTCATTAGGTTTCATTCAATTTTATGTTAACATTAAATGTATTGTGATTATATACTCACAGTTTTCAGCTGTGTATTGCGAGCAACATGCTTATTATCTATTACAGTAGTCTATTATGATAGTCTTGGTCTCTAATGACACTGCATTGTACAGGGAGATGTTGATTTCGAATTTTTGTAAGTGGTATTAACAAGTGATGCAGTGTCATGGGTAATTTGAAAACATTTGTTTCTGGCAGTTGTTTATCATATTTAGACATTTCACATTAATATTGTTGAGGTATAAGTGACAATTTCAATCTAACATAGGTTGGCACTTTAGAAAATTATTTATTTTTTATTTTGTTTTTTTCAATATATAATTTAAATATTAATGATTCTTTTTTTGTGCTATGCACCTGTCATTAAAAGGGTAACTTACATATTTTTGTTATTATATTCAAATTTTAATTCATACCTATAAAAAATATTGCTTAATAATGAAATGATTAATTTTAAAATCAAATTAGGTTAATTAGTTATGCTTGCTATAATCGATTTGTTATTGGAATTGTGTATTCTATAAATTAATTACAGATTTATGAAATATAATTTTACATGATCCAAGATTTTGTTTCAAGAAACACATTAATTGAAATTGTTATTATATAAAAAAAATCTGTATTTTTAATTGTTGAATTTAATTTTAATCAATGAATGTCAGGTATTACAAATATTCTTTCTTTTAACAACTATTTTGAAATATTTGTTTTTAAGGAAAAGTAAAATTAACATCATATATCACATAATCACACATAAGTACAAAAGCTATTATATTAGATTCTAGATAATTGGACATGTGAGAGCATGTCTAGACTTGATGTTTTTACAAATGTTCATTTTGCTAAGTAGGAAACATGGAACATTTGTTACCCTATTATTAACTCAGAGCTTTGTGTGTACCACTGCTTGGTGTCGTTAGTCTCATAGTGTCTCAAATTCTACTAACTGTCACTAATTAACTTTGCCAATACAAGAAACGATAATGGGAACCAGCAGTTATGAAGAAAACTAACATCTGAGATTAGCAATGAGCTCCAATTTTTCTCTTTGTTGTTGTAGGAGGTAGCAGTGAAGATAGAATCAATCAAGGCGCGGCACCCACAGCTTCTCTATGAAAGCAGAGTATATAAGATGCTCCAAGGGGGCGTCGGGATACCCCACATAAGGTAACTGTTTTGGTACATATTTTTTTATGATACAATGGCAAACGATCTGACGGCCCGTGTCATGGAAAGTGGTAACCGTCACATATAGACGTTACAGAATTAATACAGTGTGATGCCCATGGTATACCCTCAAGTGTCACCATTTCTAAAGGAATTAACATATTTAGGTTATTGTTAGGGTGATAATACTACACTACTGACACACAATCAAGAAATTGTAGCAACTACTAGCATATTCTCGCAATATGGGGAGGCCAATGTACAGTAGTGGATAGAAAATGACTAATATGATATGCTATGGTATTGTATGGTAGTGTATACACATGATCGAGTTTACCATAATTTTTTCATTTGACACTGCTTCAAATCCACTGTAAACTACAATTTTATGGTAGACTTGTGTATAACTTATAAATATATAATATATATTATAGATAAATTAAAATTTATCTATAATATATATTGATAAACTTAACTCTGGTGTTATTCCTCTGTACTTAGTAAATTTTTAAAGGTACGCTATTCCTAAATAAAAAAATCTCCCCCTTAGAATAGGTTCGAGCTATTTTTTGGCCTTGACCTACATACATAATGTAGTTCACGGTCGGAAACGTGTCCTATTTTACAGGTCCTTCCAAGAGATGCGTTCCTCGAACTTTGAAAACTCTTACTACGTAACTATGTTTTTCTCTATACCCAGAATTGAGACGTGGATAAATGACAATTCCAACCAGAGGGGGGAGACTTTGTACAAAAGTCGTTTGTTTAGGCACCTCTGTCCCATTCGTGTTTCTACCGTGAAGCAGTTGTGTTTGCATGGCTGTGTTTCGGTTTGAAAGGTGGGATATGGCAGAGAATTTACAGGGTACAGAGGAATAACACCTGAGTTCCTAGGAATGGCGACGCAATGGAGGTATCATGGGCGAAACAGTATACTCGTGTTATGTCCATGGTACTGTTTATGTCTATAGGCGACAGTTACCACTTTCCATTAGATGGGCCGTCAGCTTGTTTGCCATTCTAAATTGCATAAAAAGAAGAATTGATTACGTCTTGTTAGTTTCATTAATCTGCGTTCCTTACATTTAGATAATTTAAACACGTACTGTAAATTTCGCAACTAGGAAGACGTTAGTAATTCCAAGGTTAGAACGCTCTAAGCGACACCTAGCCAATACTGACGGTGCTTATAACGTCACAATAGTGTTTATTGTTGTCGATTTGTGTCGTTTTACAAAAGATTGTTTGACGGAAAGCAGGTCATGTATAGTATGTTTTATGTATGATCAATATAGAGCATGTGTGAATCGATTGTTACCCATTATTCAATAAAATGTCGAAATAAACTACATAAATTTTTTTTAGCTTAAAACCTAAATCATTAATCTAGAAGAAAATGACAATATACTATTTTAAGTTTATTGGAGGTGTTACGGTTTAAAAAATATTACGTATCTGTATTGAGGCCACATCAGCGCTTGATATCAAATATTCAATTTTTACTCAATCGCACATAAACAGCTGATTTGAATGAAATTTTGTACACACGTGGACCCCATCCTACTTTTCTATTTTTAAGTTAAACTAAAAAACAAATAACAGAAATTCGAGTAAACAGCTTCTGCTACATTGTCTTTGATAATACTTTTTATTTCCTCTCCTTATCTGTTCTTTGCGGCGATAAAATTATTATTAGATTCTATAATAAATATAACAGTAATATTGATATATTAAATAATGTAATTTGTTTCTCAAACAAAACAACCAAATGCCTAATTTGGTTGATTGGTTGGCCTTAGTCTCTCTATTTGTACCTGGTAGGTAGGTACGCTGCGTGGGATTTATTGCTTATCTGTTGCCCAACAGTGAGCGAGCAGTGTAGCACAGTAAGTCAGATTAGACGCAGAGATGTCAAGGTCAAGCGGGGAGAAACAGATTATTTCGTATCTTTTAAGAATTAATTATGAATAGAAATTATATAAAAAAAGTCGAAATTATTTTAGTTTCATATATATCAGTGTTATTTCGTGAGTTTGCCTATTCATTTCTAGAAGGTTTTCTCCAGAAATTGCTACAACATAATCTCTTACATTTTCCTAAAGAAAGATTGGTCTTCCATCCGCCTATTTAGCTCGACAGTTTACCACCATGTCCTTTTGCATAAAATGTTGTAAATAGATTGGTAATGATTTTACCATGTATGTCTAGTAGTTTCAGGCTGGCATGAAATGGAATATTTTGTACACATTGAATGAATCATAGCTAACGTGCTTTCATGGTTGTGACTCACTCAAAACGTTTAAGGACCTTGATAGGTCACTACACCAGTAGTCATAATCATGTCCCGACTTCATATCAGTCAGTCAATGACCTATTACAATCCATTCCAATTGCAACAAGGGAATGAGATGACAGATCAGTTAGTGGATGCGAATTATTACACATTACGAAATGCTCTTATGATAACCCGCCTAGAAGGATATCTACTGTGCAATGTTTTTTTTTTTTGCCCCAACAATACGTGTTATCTCATTCCCACGTTTATGGCATGATAAAATGTCTCAACAGCTATAAAAAAATAAATTAGCATTTCTCTAAAATAATCTGTAAATAAATAAACTTTAAATTTTTTCCACATGATACACAAGATATTTTAGCCTAAAGTCCCACTGCTGACTTCTATGAATTAAACTTGGATTAAATGAAAAAAAGCGAAAATATAAAAAAAAAAAACAGTTTAGGTTGTTCATTGATATGAAAACAGGCAGTTTTATATCTCATATGTTTCTTATATAGGTTTTAATTAAACCTATATAATTTTTACCATAGTAAAACTTTATACAAAAGTTATCTGATTTTTGGGATGAATCAGATTTTTCCATGGCTGTGTTTCGGTTTGAAAGGTGGGATATGGCCATGAAAAAAAATAACACGTTAATCCTTAGGGATGGCAATGCATGAAGAGTATTATGTGTGACACAGTATACTTTGTTATTTTCATGTCTATAGGCGACGATTACTACTTTCCATCAGGTGGGACGTCAGCTTGTTTGTCATTCTAAGTTGAATATTGTGTAATTGAAAAATAAATACTCGAGTACTTTAATTTACATGTATTTTTTATAAATCTGTGGATGTAGTGTAGTACAAGTGTATTGTAAATTATAAATTTTAAAATATTTATTTGCGTTTTAAAAAATATGTATTCAGTACATTTATGCATTATGCAACTTATAAACGTCAAACAGAGGACCTAGAAGCCGTAATTCAAAATGTCTTTATAACAATACCCGACCGTGAGTTCAGCCTTCTAGACTTTTTGCAAGGCGATTATGACTATGGGACTGTTACGTGTAAAACGCACACCGATATTACGTCGTCGAAAGTTGAGTTTGTTATGAAATCAAAATGGAAATTATGGCACCCAACTGTACACAGCATGCATACTCAATTCGCGTGTAATATTACTTTTTTTTTTTTTTATAAACAAAAAATGCTACTTATTGTCCGTGTTAGTAGAAAATAAGTTTGTAGAGGAAAAAATGTAAAGTACATCTATCTGTATATGAAATAAATTTATATTGCGTGGCGATAGTAGGTTAATATATTATGAGATTTTTTTTATGCTACTTAGAATCGCAAATTGACTGCCCACCTGATGGAAAGTGGTAACTATTGCTCGTTGCCTATAGACATGAACAGTACCATGGACATAACTGTATACTGTGTTGCAATTCCTGAAGACTAAGATGTTATGCCTCTGTACCCTGTAATTTTACTGCGATATCCCACCTTTCAAACCGAAACACAGCCATACAAACCACTGTTTCACGGCAGGAACACGAATGGGACAGAGTTACCTAAGCAAGACAACTTTTGTACAAAGTCTTCCTCGGATATTTCCAGTAAATGGGGCGTTAATAATGGGTTAATATTCATAACTTCATACCTTAACATGATGGCTAATGACACATTTTGTTATAGGAAATATTTAGTTGTCGATAAAGCCGCTAGGTGCCGTCGTTCGTCGAAACGTAGACTCGACCTTAATCCACAATAAAACTGTTTCAAGGCAACGAAACGTCCCAAATCGAACAAATATTTTTCACTGTAATTAATCACTAATGTAACAAGTGTGTATTTTCCACTGTTCATTTAACATTTATATTATAACGAATGAGTTATACCATTGCGTGCATAGTCTATTGGGTTTCCTGTATTGTAGCACTATGAGCTAAAAGCAAGGCAGGAGGCAATTTCAAAAAAGAATAGGTTCTTAATTCGGTGCATTTTTTTTTCTGTGTATGTTGACTTTCCCGTACAAGAAATACAATATATAATAAATGGTACGTGACTTTTTAGAGTCTAATGCTTAGCTTTGTTGTTTTTTGTGTACAATAAAGAATTTTAATTAAACAAATGACGATTATTTTAAAACTAATCAGATGTTTAGATGAGCTATTGTGTTTATCGTAGTACACTATCATTAGATGAAAGATAAGCAATCTGAAGTGACAATGGGCTGGGCAAATAGCTCGAAAAACCGTTAATCGATGGGGAAGAATGTTCTTTAATGGTGATTTCGTATGTGCAATATAGGACGACTCTCCGCTAGATGGAGAAACGACCTCAAATGTTTTACAGAGAGTCAGTGGACTAAGGTGGCTCAGGACTGTCCCTTATGGCAGTCTATGGGAGGTCTATAGCCAGCAGTGGGCAGATAATGGCTGATATGATAATCATGAATCATTGAATGCAGTCGAATGAGAAAATAGAATCGTACACTTATCTATATTAGTAGAAAGGTTATCGCTGTGAACTCTTTACCTTCGATGTGTGCCAACGTAATTAAAATAAACATAAGGAAATAGTACGATAATATTGACGTTTTTAATAGTTATTTATTATAGATATAATTAGTTATTAAATAACTGTGTGTGGACTGAAAGACGATGTAGTGACAAAAATCGAAAAAGGAATGTTGCGTTGGTTTAGTCATTTTGAGAGGATGAAAGAAGAATTACGAAAGAGATTTATCGAGCAAGAATGAATGGAGATGTCGGTAGGAGCCGCCCTAGACGGACGTATGTTGACCAAATAGGCGACGTGCTGAAGAAGGGCCAAATTAAAAGTGCCTGTAACCGGCGAGCGTGTATGGAAAGATTGATGAATGTGGAAGAAGCGAAAGAGGTTTGTTTGAATCGAAGCATTTGGCGTTCCATTGTTTCTGCCTACCCTAATGGACGGGAGATAGGCGTAACTACTATTGCCGTGTGGTCTCGGCATAGAATGGGCCAGTTCTTACAGTCCCGTGGCTGTTGTGAGAGGCGACTTAGGTAACTTAATGATCAAGAAATGAGCAGAAGCGTCTCTATTAAAATATCATCAAAGACTTACTGCGATCGCCAACCTGCTTGTCAAGCGTGGCGATTGTTGGCAAAACCCCCTTTATGGTGGAGGTCAATGTCCAATAGTGGACAGTTAACGGCCGATATAATAAAAAAATAGCTACTATTAATCATTATTTAATAAATTAAATATACTAATAAATCTGTAAAGATGAAAAAGTGTGTAGTAAATGAAACGCAATATAAATGTAATTTTTAGAATTCACGTATATTTGTTACGCCTAGTTCGTGAAATGGAACGTGCAAGAAACTCGATTACTACCTCTAACGAACTTGTACAATCCCAAAGTAGTTTAAAATTGTGTACAACAATATGGTGTACAGAAGCGTCACACTTTTTAGGTGAATGCACCCGGCTAACGGTAGTAACTGTTCAGATTTTACAAGGATGCATAGGTTATTGTATACCCATTATTATTGTCTATTGTATTTATCTATTAATAGATTTTGTATGGTCTACATCCAATCTGGTGTGGATGGTTCAAAATAAATGGACAAAATATAGAGGACCGTTTTTTTTGTGACATTGTAAAACGAACGGGAGGGAGAGGCCTCCCGTTTTTGTGTGAAATATGCAATGTGAAAATGAAGGGATAATAAATTCCTTTAAAGGAATAAATAAATCTAATATCTCTCAGGTGATTTTAAAGTAACCTTTAAACAAGATCGTCCATTGTTGAGCTTTCTGTAGTTCTCTAATATTCAGAAAAACGATACAGTCTTTATATGTATATATAATTATATACATAAGTACTAAATACAGTCCAGTCAGTATATACGGACTGTATTGTTTTCCTGTTTTGCGGTGTTTGTTCTTTTATAGAAATTCAAAAAAAATTGCATTTAGAATGTGCATTGACCCTTTTGTCATTTTTTCCTTCTGTAACTGTAATTGTGTATTTATCATATGAAATTATTTTGTGGCCAATATTTTCTATTCTGTTCTGATCTGTTCTATTCTTATATAGTGTTATAATATATATATTGTTAGTTTAAGTAGGCAATTTGATTTAACTTGTTTTAACAGCTATTTTGTTTGTTACAGATGGTACGGCTTCGAGAAAGATCACAACATCCTCGTAATGGACCTTCTGGGTCCATCCCTCGAGGATCTGTTCAACTTCTGCTCAAGACAGTTCACCATCAAGACTGTTCTTATGCTTGCAGGTACATATATATATCTTCAATATGAATCTTAGGGAACCATAGAGGGTTATAACTAATATAAAGAGAATAATTTCAAACTATGGGAAATTTATTGTTTTGCTCGTTTGAATCAAGATTAAGTACATTCCGATCAAGGATTATTGTCCATGAGTTTGGTTCATCAATATCATCATCATCATCGTCATCATTTTTATGTCAGCCGTTAACTGTCTACTGCAGAACATAGCCCTCCCCGTATTGCGGGGCTTTGCCAGTAGTTGCCACGATTGGCAGGCGGATCGGCAACCGCGGTTAGTGTTTGGTGACATTTTAAGAGGGACGCTGCTGCCCATCCCTCGACCATTCAGTTCCCTTAGTCACCCACGGGAGAGGACGAGCTGACTCGTGGTATGCTGTGACCACACGGCTATCGGTATATAATACATTTAAACGTGTTCAGATTTACAAATGAAATTGAGTAACAAACATTTAATTGTCCGAGAACACAATGCAATATAATTTTTTTTTATGGAATTTAAAATGGCAAACAAGCTGACGGCCCACCTGATAGAAAATGGTAACCGTCACCTATAGACATGACTAATATGATGAATATAACATAGTACACTGTTTCACCCATGATACCCCCCATGCGTTGCTATTTCTAAGAACTCAGGTGTTATTCCTCTGTACCCAGTGTAAATTCACTGTCATACCCTACCCTTCAAACCGAAACGTATTTTAACCGTGAAGCAAACAACTGCTTCACGGTTAAAATACGAATGGGATAGAGGTAACCAAGGAAACGACCTTTGTACAAAATCTCCCTCTGTTAGTCTGTTTACACGGCCTAAGTCGCGCAATATGACATAGGTAATAAAAACGATAGCGATCATAATCAACGCAGTGAAGTGGTAAACGATCTAAGATCGACTTGTTATTTTTTTGTCCAAGTTCAACGCACGTTAATACTCGTAAACAATGTCGTTTGTTAATCTTCCAACGACTAGATCTCGTCTCTCTTTCTTATTATGACTTAGATTGAATGCAATCGTAACTGTGTATACCTTTTGTGGTGTACTTTACAAATATTATTTTTTTATATTAAAAACTAATATATGTATGAATATAAATAAAAAGAAATTATCTAAAATATAATGAATTTTAATTATACAATTTGTATAAAATATAAATAAATTATAGAAATTACAGGATTAACTTGAGTGTATTTTAATTAAGCAATTCTCATTAAATTATTAATGAGTATTTACAAAAATTTTAACAGAAAATTGCCTATATAAACAGTTTGTTAATCCGTCTGCCAAACGTGACAACTACTGGCAAAACCCCCTCAAGGGGAAGCCTATGTTCAGCAGTGGACGGCTGATATCGTCATAGTCGTAGAATACTGACGGATCTTTATATGTAATCTTTGGCAGATCCGTCAGTATTCTACGACTGTGACGATATGATGATATATTTGTGGTATATTCACATCAAATACTTGGTTCTTATCCTTAAATTGGGATATCGTGTGTACGAAAATCCGGTTTCGAATACCTGTCGAGCTATTTAGACTTATTTCTGGGTGTTTTGTGATAGGCCTCTAGATGTTAGTTTTCTGTTATCTTACAAACGCAGGACACTATAGCTTGACAATCTGTCAATTAGTGATATTTTGTGGCATTTATAGCGTTCTAGTTTCAAATGGTTTGTCATTTCAGATCAAATGCTCGGCCGAGTGGAGTTCATCCACTGCAAGTGCTTCATCCACCGTGACATCAAACCCGACAACTTTTTAATGGGCATCGGTCGCCACTGCAATAAGCTCTACATGATAGATTTTGGTCTCGCCAAAAAGTTCAGAGATTTGCGCTCGCGCGCTCACATATCTTATCGCGAAGATAAAAATCTGACAGGTTAGTCCTTTTTATACAACTTGATATTGCAAACATGGCTGACGCCCACCTGTTGGAAAGTGGACCATCACCAATAACATGAACAGCACCCACGGGTTAAAGAGAAAATATACTGCTGTCATAGGCCTAAGATATTTTCTAAGAGCCTCTATGAGCTGTTATTTTATTACCATATCTCATTTTAAAAATCGAAACGACAATGCAATCAGCTATTTTTTGCCAGACATGAGAGCCTACTCACTACACACAAACACTGTCGTATGACTGATTTAAAAGTATTGTTTAATTGTAATTAATTAAGCAGCTTATTTTGCTGATTCACCAAAAATTACCAATTAGTAATTTTCGATTATCTAGCTTACTTTTTTCAATGACTAATATGTAATGTCATTGCAGGTACAGCGCGTTACGCGTCTATCAACGCACACCTTGGTATCGAGCAGTCGCGACGGGACGACATGGAATCACTGGGATACGTACTTATGTATTTCAATAGGTGAGTCGTGTGACGCCACACACATATTGCTTCTTCGACGAAAATAGGGTCCTCGAAAGGAATAGAGGTCGTTGAAGTGTAAGCACAGAGATGAACCCAAGATAATGCGCTGAATGTTTGGAAATTGCCTCGTGAATAGTTTGGTTTCCTGTCAAGATAAGATCCCGTCAAATTTAAAAATTAATTCTTGACTACAAATTTGATATAATGCATGCACTTGCTTGCCCTGTTCATTTCTTAATTGAAATAAAATTGTTTTTGTGATGCACATTGGATGGCAACCAATTGAGATTTCTAATTAAGTGTTCTATAACTAATTGTATCAATATTTGTCATCATTATAGTCTATGGAGAAGTTTCCAGCCTAAAAGTGAGACATCAGCACCAATAAATATCAAAATTCACTCATAAAAAAAATTATCCTGGTAGGTAGGTGGAGGATATACCTTAATCATAAAAATATAAATTTCATTGTGCATGTGTAAAAAGCACTAGAAAAGATTGCTAAATGTTGTCATTTTAAATTCCTTTGTTCTCATTGTAATTTCGTGTGTGTTTTTAGTATGCTACGTCGCAAATAATATTGCCTTTAATATTGTCATAAAAAACCGGGTCCTCCAGTATCTGCAATATAAAGATTGCGGTCAATGACACGGTTTGTTTTAAAGGTGTAATATGTATTTAAAAAAAATTCAAAATTAGATCAACAGTTTTTGTGATCGTACCTGAGACATAAACTTATAAATCTATCTCACTATCTTATCGAAAACAGAATCAAAACAATTAGCCCAAATCACAATTGTCAGGATGTTGTCGTGTTATTTAATTTCATTCTATACTGCGTAGTGAATGTATGCATGAAAGACGTTCAATAGGCGATATTGTCTGCTGCATTGCGTAAGCGCTTTCGACTTATCTGTATTGTGTTTCATCCGAGTGACTCATGGACATTTTGCTGATGTATGTGTTTACAGTCTTGTTTCGGAATATTTTGTCGATCGATATCGTGATCGATCCAATCACAAGTAAAATAAAAAAAAAAAAACAAAAAGTTACCAAGTGTCTAATCGTAATTAAAAATGTTTATAAACAAAATTATTTCTATGTATTATTATTAGTCATGTTGTTTTTTCCTGTTGAATATTATTATAATTTTAATATTTGTTGTTAAAATGCAGGAAATCCTTATTGTGACTGCTTATAATTGTTTATTTATTGTCTACTCAAAAGTCTTTTTTTTTTGACGTCCCTAAAAATATATGAGCAAACAACATTGGCCATATTCTCTGACTTTAGTCCACATTTATTCCAAAAAAATAAGCTCAGTTATAAATTAAAAATAAACAGAAGTGTTAACATGTCTAACACAGCCATTAATGAAGTATAATTTGAACGATATTTTTAAAACAAGTTGCAATTGATAAATTGCCGTTTCTATATTAATTTCTACAGAAATTATTGTTAGTAGCGTATATATTTATTTAAATTTTACTAACCAATAAAATGTGGTACAAAAGGCAGATTTAATACTATATGCTTTATGTACCAATCAACCTATAGGATGTGTAGAGGTGCTCGAATTATTTAATGTAGAACCTTTGTTGAACCCTTCATAATTTGTTACAGAGGATCACTGCCGTGGCAGGGATTGAAAGCCATCACCAAGAAGCAAAAGTACGAGCGGATCAGTGAGAAAAAGATGTCCACACCAGTTGAGGTGCTGTGTAAGGTGAGAACCATACAATGGGCCCTATTCTATAAATAATTTGATTTTATGACATTCTACCACCATTACGCTCGGGAATCTTTATTTTAAATGTGGTAAACCACGGATCGCAGATTTCCAGTTCATATGTAGGTAGAGTGATCAATATTAATATAATAGTATCCTATTAATATAATAAATGTGAAAGTGTATAACGATGGATGAATGGATATTTGTCACGCAAAAACTATTGAACAGATTTGAATGAAATTTGGTACGCAGGTAGGGTGCATCCTAACTTAGCATATCATATATTTTACATACTGATTCGTGCGAGTAAAGCGGCGGTACACAGCTAGTTAAGAATATTTTTTAAATGATATACTCATATTGCATATTTTCTATATATCTTCCAATAATGTATTATTGAATTTCTTATTTATTACATTCATTGTTGTCAAATCGCCACCTGTCACAACAAACTCTCATGGCTGTTGTCACCAAGGGTATTTATTATTCAATAATAATAAATAGCAAGGGCAGCTGTTGCATTTAAAGTTGGTAAACAATAAACTAAAACGTCAGTTTATGTTAATATATTCATTATTGCATTGTACCGCACTAATAACTATGTATTTGTTATGTTACTGTTCCCCCTCTTTCACTCGCGCAAACATCTCTGCCAGTAGTATTTGGGTAAATCTTTTGTTTAGATGTCTAGTGCCATAAATGGTAACAGTCCGTCCTGTTTAAACAAGTGGCATTAACAGACGATTCTATCAATAAAAACGTCGCGCATGTGTACGAGATATGAGAGTGGTATTTTTAACGTATTGTTCTCACTCAATCATACGCCAACGAATACATCAACGGATAGATTTTTTTGCCAGCTGTCTAAGTCTTGACCTAGTGTTTGAATACTAGCTGTATCCAAATACTGAGCTAACTAATCAAAGCCGCTTAGGTTGTATATTGTAAGGTCAGACAGGACAAATTAAATACATTTTTAATAGATTTTCTTAATCTTGCGGCTTTGATCGCGCGAATAGAGATATAAATGTATTCTATATGTTACTCTAGAATATGAGACAGCATTGTATAAAATTTCATCCAAGTGTGCACACCTATGATTACTCCACGTGGTTCCCCCTGGAAACCATCGTGAACAATTTTTGTTGAATTCGTCATGATGGGCTAACTGACCTACTTCATCCTCATCTTTCATCCTTCACTGGTGCCCCGCCGGTGTATACCGATAGCGCGGGTGGGGTTACCATTCCATTATCATCCATTAAAAAAAAAAGACCTATGATTAAGAAACCGTGCCTTACCAGAGAGAGACTTTGTACAAAAGTCGATTGCTTGGGTACCTATGTTCCTGGCTGTGTTGTTTGAAGGGTGGGATATGGCGTGAATTCACTGGGTACAGAGGAATAACACCTGAGTCCTCAGGAATGGCAACGCATGGGGGGTATCATGGGTTAAATGTACCTTTTTCCTTTTTCTATTCCTCATGTCTATAGGTGACGGTTACTACTTTCCATCAAGTGGGCCGTCAGCTTGTTTGCCATTCTAAGTTGTATAAAAAAAAACCGTGCCTGAGTAATTCTATGCCGTGAGGTTCCAGCATAGAATGCTCCTTCCCCTACCCTCATCCTATCCTGTGGGCGTCGTTAGAGGCGACTAAGGGACCTGAATGATCAAGAAATGTGCAGCAGCGTTCCTCTTAAACCACCAAATCTTAATTGCGGTTGCAACCTGTTTGCCGAGCGTCGCAACTACTGGATACCGATGGACAGTTATCGGCCGATATGATGATGGTGATGAAGGAATCATTGCGGCGTATCGGCGCAGTATGTCATCTTCCACAAATCCCTGTCAACTGTTATTTCTAGGCTCACTCTTTCATTCATATCATCTTTCACACTGTTCATCCACATTTTATTCGATCGTCCCCATTCTTTACATACATTCACCTTTCATACTTAACTATGTATGTACTGTTGTAGTTGGAAAATAACTTAAAATTATTTTGTTCTAGGGCTTTCCAGCTGAGTTCGCTATGTATTTAAATTATTGCCGCGGTCTGACGTTCGACGAGTCTCCCGACTATATGTACCTTAGACAGGTATGACTGTGGACAGTCTTTTTTTTTATATGAATTATATACATTGTATTCAAAAATATTTATTGTATGTACTTTTATGGAATAACACCTAGGTACTTAAAAAACAATAATACATGGGGGGTATATGGGCTTGACAGTGTATAGGTATACTGGAATGTCCATGCCCCCTTTTATGTCTATAGGCTTTAGTTGCCACTTTGCCACTCAAGAGGATCTTTGGCTTGGTTGCCAAATTCCAAATTATTTATAAAATATATAATAACTCGGTTTTTTTTTTCGAGAATTTTAATCACTACAATATATTTGTTATATTTAAGTTAATAAATTGGTAAATGTTTAATTATAAATAAATAAAAAGCTAGGTTAATTTTTTACTATTTTGAAGTTGTTTGTATATAGTAATATTGTGTTTATTTCCTTGCAAAAAATTACAGTAGTAAACTTAGTAATAATAAAAAAATAAAATTGCAAAAGTCACATTGGGAAAACAATAGACAGATTAATATTTTTTTTTAATGACAATAAATTGGTCTGCAGTTGTTCCGGATTCTGTTTCGCACGATGAACTACCAGTACGACTACACCTTTGACTGGACCATCCTGAGGCAGCGCAAGCAACACATGGAGGCGGGGCCCGCGCCCGCCGACCGCCGCTCGCCCTCCGTGCAGCGGCGCGCCGCGCAGCAGCCGCCGCAGCCGCCGCCCAACAACGAGGTGAGCGCCCACATTACACATTAGACATGAGCTCTCAGATTATTCTATCTGTAGTCTTGTGATGACCACCACCACTATACTATATATATCTATGTAGCGAGCTCCCCCACCATATTATCCAGATTCATGTCCATGTAGTACTTCACCACTATACTAGACAAATAATGTCATGAATTCTTAAACTACTACCTACTCTCGCCAAATACAAAGTGAGCTCTTGTACTATAATAGCATAAGTTCGACAAGATATGCTTTTATAGGTTCACAACGAGGTTAGCGCTCATACTTTTTTAACATAGAATGGGCTATCTTCACTGTCTTAACGTGCTATCCCTAAATGACTTGTATTTTTTTTTTTTTTTTTTTTTCACTTTGCATAATAAAGCAGATGTCTATCCTTTCCCTTTCCTCTCATCACTCCTTTGTTTTTAGGTGAAGTCAATGCATGCAACGAATGATTCCGGCACTAAACAAGTTGTGAAAGCCCACCAATCCATTAGCCAACTGAAGAAAAAGCTCACAACCGTCTCCTAAGACTTACCTATATACCACCTATCGCTCCATATTCCACATTCGTAGCTACTAAAGGAATGCACTAATTGATCGATAAATAGGTTTACAAGGAACTTTTGTGAGATTACGAAGTCTGCTATGATTTATCTGTCGATATATATGTTTGAAATTGGTTTAGCTCCTATTCTGAATTGGCAGTGACTGATGTATGTTTGTGAAGTTAGTTTTAGCTTTTAGACTATTCTGAATTGATAATAAAAGTTGATGAATAAAAGAATAGGTTTTTTCGAAAGCATCGTTTTCAGTTTTAGAAATTCGCAGAATCCTAGATTCTTAGGGAATATATCCGCCCTTAAGGTCAAGTAGTTTTTGAGATATCGTAATTCAGTGAGCAATTTTGAATATCCGCTTTTTTATTATTTATAAATAATAAAATAAAAAAAAAAAAAACATCGCCCAGACATAGGTTATATATGACCTATGTCTGTACGATGTTATAATTATCCTACTTGTATCTCTCGATTGTTCAGAAGTTACTGATGATGTCACACTTAGTTCATGCTTGTATTGTCAACTACTTTGTAATTTTCATTCCAATCTGTTCAGTTTCGTTGTTTTATTTATTTACAAGTTTTGTATAAATTTTTTGTTCAACTAAGTAGTGACAGAAAATTAATAGATTCAATCCTAGTAACAATGCAGTAAGGCGCAAATTAGTAATTTGTTAAATTTAAATAATTTTAACAAGGCAAATGTATGTGGTGTGTATTTGAATGTGTGTAACCAGTAAATTTAACATAAGACCTAAACACGAGTTAAATGTAACATAGTTTTGCTGATTTAAAGTAATAATATATTTTTTATAACGTATTATTAAAAATTGTATAAATTTGCAAAATGTTTACGCAAAAATATACAAGTTACTATAAGGTGGTGCGGTAATGTGAATTTGTGTAAATTAAATAACTTCGTATAACTACATTGTGTTTAAATAATTGAAAACATGGAGCATCCGGTAAACTGTCGCGGTATACCTCTGTGTATGTATCGAGATGTTTTATTATGTATTTGCTAGCGTTTATTGAGGTCGTTTAGATTACGTGTTGACTTTCACTTTTCGGGTTTTTTTTTTTTCATTAGATAGTTACGTAATTGCATTTCACTAGTTCGTCCTTTTAACAATAGAGACCAATTGTTGTTTCATATTATGAAATGAAGTTGCAAAAAGTGGATGACTGACGCACACTGGCTGTCATTCGTAATAACATTGTTTTCCCGTATTCTTTCGCATTTACCAGAGGGAGACTTTGTACAAAAGTTGATTGCTTGGGTACCTCTGTCCCATTCGTGTTTCTACCGTGAAGCAGTTGTGTTTGCATGGCTGTGTTTCGGTTTGAAGGGTGGGATATGACGTGAATTTACAGGCTATAGAGGAATAACATCAGAGTCCTCAGGAATGGCAACGCATGGAGGGTGTCATGGACAAAACAGTATACTCTGTTATGTCCATGGTATTGCTCATGTCTATAGGCGACGGTTACCACTTTCCATCAGGTGGGCCGTCAGCTTGTTTGCTATTGTAAGTTGTATAAAAAAAAAAAAACTTTTTAAATTTGTCTTATACACAAAAATGATAATTTTTCTGTATTACTTATAGTATTGTAAAGGCTGCAAAATATCTGGAAAAGGATGAAGCCTTATGTGCAATATGATTTTCTCAGTCATTAATTTTTATATTCTCATTTTATACCAAGAGTATCCGATTTAGTGTGGCCATCTTACATTGTACGATCTATAGTTAATTGAACACTTAATTAGTTTTTAGTATCTAATTACGTTCATATATAATAGTTTGTAGGGATCAGTGTAGATGAACTGATTGATAGCGAGGAAATATTTTTTTTATCGATTAAAACCTATATACAGAGTAACTATCGTATGATAATGATTTTGAAGAAACAAACTGTGTCTCTCTGCAATGCTCTAGATTCGTTCATTAGATCTGGCGGTTTCTGTCTCAGTGAGCATAGCTATCAATTTTTTTTTATCGCCTTTCAGCCCATCTACGCTGTCCCTTACATAATTTAATAATTCTATTATCTAATAGTAATTGTTTCTTTTCTATTTCCAGTGAAAGAGATTACGACGTTCGGCAGCTACGGGTGGTCCGGCGAAGAAGAGGGCGCGATAGCATTTGTTTAGTGTGGGTGTGCGTTTATGTGTGCGAGTGTTGTGCGGTGTGTGCGGACGCGGTGAGCGCGCGTGCGTGTGCGTCAGCCATCGAGCGTCGTGTGCGTTGAACTCGCGTCGAACGGGCGTCCGGCAAGCGTCTAGCTACCAACGTGCGTCGAACACGGTATGGACAGCTTTCTTTCGTACAGAGGCCTTTTAATTTACGTCGATAGTGAACTAGAGGCGACACGTGTGTGTGATCGCTATTATTATTATATAAAGAGAATATTGTAAACTTCGGTAATTTAACTTTCTTAATTAAAATTAAAGTGTATTTAGTATTAAGTTCATTTCAATGAATGTTTTTAGGGTCCATGGATTAATGAGCGCATTTTTCGAGAGTTAAGTGTAATATGGAAATTAATTAATGCAATATAACAATTTAACTGTGAGATGTCGACGCTTTTGGTTGTAGTTAAGGTACCAATACATATGTCCATCAGCATAGTACGACTGTAAAGGAGCAGACATTATGCTTTACGCGTGTGTACAGTACAAAAATGTAAAAACATAACTAAGTTATGTTTATCAACCAATTACAGCGGATCAAACTGATTGGTCACACCGTTTGATTCCGTGTAGATTGGCTAAAAATACGTTTTTACGCTGTAAACACTAGAAATGTGCATCCTGCAGGTACTCAAGCATGGTTCCATGTAATAACATGTGTATATGTACCATAATGTTACTCTCTATTAGTTTTTTGATGTTAGTTTTCACTTAGATATTATCATATTGAATTTATTGTAACAAGCACTTGGGTGTTTCAATAGTTCACTGTAAATACAAACTGAATATTGGAGCGCCCAATGCGTATATTTCGACGCATTGTAACCCAATATTGGTTAAAGATGTTCATTAAAATTTAATGATAACTAATGTAGGTTTCAATAAAAAATAGGAAAAATATGAAAAAAAAGAAGGAAATATGTTTAGTTAAGTCAATCTGCTATTTCCGTTTCTTGGGAGAGCGACGGTTGTGGCGAATCAAATAATTATAGGTTTTTTATTTTTAAATATATACATATATATATATATTTTTTTTTTGTTTCGGAAAGTATAGATAAAGGAATTGTACATAAAAATAGTCGCGAGCACCGCTTTCCCAAGAGATTCGGTACGTATGTATCGCATATTTTAAAATACACGAAAAATGATAAATTGTAAATATAAAACAGTGTTTGTTCTGTTATTTTTTTTTAAGAGCAAAATAGATGTTTTTTTTCGGAAGCGACGACGTCAGCGTATCTAACTCGAACAGCGCTTCACCCGCCTAGGTGATATTTTTGTATGAACAATATATAAAGTATTAAAACGGGCTTTTAATTATGGGATGTAAATTAGTAACCAAGTGAAGTAAAGAATGGAAACCAGATAGTCGAGCGAAGTGGCAATTTTTATGCATATCCATGAAAGGGTTTGCAAAGTAGATAAGGCGGGGGTGTAAAGTACTTTGTCTATGGAATAGCCGGGTACTGGTACAAGCCAGTGGTTACGCGCTCTTAAAAAGAGTTTGTGTAAAATATAATATATAAATAATTTATTAATACTATTATTATTATTAAAAATAATAAATATAATATATAACGTGTAACGGAATAAGTGTATGTATATAAGTGTACTCGAAAACTATATTTTTAAAATTAAACATCCTTCCCAAGGAACATGATTTTTTCATATGAAGATATTTATAATGGGTGATAGTGGAATGATAACCCCGCCAGCGTATATCGATAGTGCAGGCGGGGTTTTCATTGAGAGATGACAGGTCTGGATGAAAGCAGGTCAGGTTGGCCCATCCCGACAATTTCAACTAGAATTAACCACAAGGATTTCCAGAGGGAACCGCGTGGATGTCGACCTGATAGGAGGGTATATTGCTAGTATTGGGGTTATTTGACCCCATTACTAACAACCCCTTCTTTCCCCATTGAATTTTTATATACTAAATTGATCACGTAATTGCAGGATTGTTGGTATGTTCGAGAAATATTTTCGTATGTCCTATGCCTGCGATATCGGTAAACACTGGCTGGGCATCAGTGAGAGATGATAGGTGAGGATAAAACTACAAATCGGTCCATCGTAATGAATATACCTGCAACTCGGTACGATGGTTTCTAGGGGGCAGACCACGTGGAGGTCGACCTGGTTAGGTATATTGCTAGCAATGGGGTTCTTAGTCTCCATTATTAACAATCGCTTTCCTTGTGGAAGCTTGTTCCGTTTTACGATTATTATCCTTAGTTTTCGGCTTTATATACCTGTTCCGTAACAAGTTTTGTATTTATACGTTACATCCCATATTGAAGCCGGTAAACAAGAGCACTTCCATAACATATAAACCGCGAGGCGTCGCTTTTAAACTATGTAATTTAAGTGATACGTGTAAACAGATCTTGTATGATTGTACGAGTTGATCAAATGGGGACAAAATATACACCAACATTATGACTGTGGAATCGGGGACCTTTTCATGTGATAGTGTGGATCTCAATATTCCTTTACTTTACGTAGACTTTGTAGTGAACTTGATTGTACTGCATCAAAACTAAACGTCAAATTAACGACAGCCACTATTTTGTCTCCAAGTGAAATGTACTCAGTATATGGCTCTTTTAAACTAATAATAAATTAATAAACAAGTACTACGTTGTTTCCTTGGTATTCCATTTTACAACATAATGTTAATTTTTTTATATATCATTAAGATGGCAAATACGGCCCACCTGATGGTAAACGGTTACTGTAATTTATGAACGCCTGCAATACACGCGGGTAGCTGAAAAGAAATCTCTTTACCCCATTTACTCAAAAGGGAGCTCATTCCATAATCAGCATTCGAGGAAAGAAGCATATCCGTGCTTTACGCAACCATCCAGACTAAATTAGGGCGCATTCAAGTATTACATAATTCATTTTATAGAAACATATACGGCACGATATATGGGGAAAGAGGGGGTCTAAAAATTTCAGAAATTGCTTATTATGTTATGTAGTATTTAAATGTTCCCTTATGAGAGTGAACTCGGTAGCAAGCTATACGATTGTATAAAATGGCTGTGGACATCATGTTAACCGATTCATCTGTGCTGTGCACAATCTATTGTTTAAGCGGCAGAACGCGCAGAGTGAGATAAAATTTCCGCTAAAACTTAATGGTTTGATACCGCTTCTGAGTTTGGTATCATCAATTGTCATAGTAAATCATTACACTAAGTCAAGGGATCAAGCTGGTCTTAGTCCTAGATGGTCCCGCCCATATGTGACGGCAATACTCCATATGGAGTCGTTTCTTGGGCAAAATGTTCAATCCATAAACTGTAAAGATGCAATATTCGAATTTCGATTCTCAATCTTACTCTATCATAGATTAAAAACCTGAAGTATTTTCGTTCTACGCTCCCTATTTATAAATCACTATATCCAGGAGATTTCAAAATCGAATCTCAGTTAAAACATCTAAATTTTCTAATTCATTGGATCATTTAAAAAAATATTGTAACTTGCTTCAGAGGCATAGATTAAGAAAATACCTTCGATCTTATATAAAGTTTACATCCAATTAACTATAAACACAATTATGAAAATATCTGTGGCTACGACATATGCTTTCGTGTGCAACGATGGCGATCTAGAAATTTATTAGTAGAAGACTATATCCTTGCACAAGTAGTATAGTATTTTAATCGTAGACTTAGTATAACTAAGATTTTAATAAAATTTTTGTTGCATAGATGAGCCGCTTAACCCAGAGCACAGATAATATAATACTATATTAGTACCCAGAGTGACTAGATCAGGTTTATATATTTGGTGTTTGATTTAATGCCAACATACTTGTCCTCTTAGATGGAGGAAATCGGTTGATGTAATGATGGCTCGGGTCTTTATGTACATTGCGATTTGGTAACGTGACTAATGACACGTTTCAAGAACATGTCACAATGTACGGCAATGTTTGAAATATCTTCTTAATATTCTATCGCATATTTACACGTAGCAGTTAATATAAAAGTATATTGGAACTATTAAGACCAGAGTATCCATAATGTAAAGTGTCCATCACCATCAACGAGCGTGTTTTATTCTCCGCCAACTTCCATCATTGCATGGCAACCGTGACAGGACCACATAATATATTTATCCGTCAGTATTCTACGTCATAATCGTAGAATACTGACGGATAAATATATATGTAATCTTGGTCAGTATTCAACGACTATGACGATGTACTCACTATGTATTTACAAATTATTTACAGGGAACAAATTAATTTGGAATATGAATTTATTATTTACACATAGGTAGTGTGAATTTATCGTTTACACATTTTTTTTATTAATGAACTTGTATTCCCGCCTGCACTAACGGTATAGGTACGCTGGCGGGGCTCCAGTGAGGAATTATACGTGAGAATGAAATAGCAGGTCAGTTAATCCATCATGATGAATACACCTGGAATTCAACACGATGGTTTTCCGTGGGTATCACGTAGAGGTTGTCCTGGGAAGGTATACTGCTAGAAATGGGACATAGTTCGCATTACTAACGATCTCTTCCCCCTGCGGTCGCACATTAAAGCGCTTTTCCTGTTACAATAACAGCTCGTTACTTAGCATTTATTTTTAATTTGTAGTTATTATTATGATCGGGTTAATTTTTATTATTTACCAGAGGGAGACTTTATACAAAAGTCGATTGCTTGGGTACCTCTGTCCCATTCGTGTTTCTACCGTGAAGCAGTTGTGTTTGCATGGCTGTGTTTCGGTTTGAAGGATTGGATATGGCGTGAATTTACAGGGTACAGAGGAATAACACCCGAGTCCTCAGGAATGGCAACGCATGGGGGTATCATGAGCGAAACGGTATACTCTGTTATGTCCATGGTACTGCTCATGTCTATAAGCGACGGTTACCACTTTCCATCAGGTGGGCCGTTAGCTTGTTTGCCATTCTAAGTTGTATAAAAAAAAAATATTTGTTCACATTTTCATTAAATTCCCGACTATGATTAGGCGTATTTTCGTCAATTCCCCATACATATATTTAAGATCGTAACGCGCACATGACACCCCTAGTGCTTCAGACTCCATAGACCATCAGACGGGCTGGTTTGCCACTTTCCTGGTATAAAAAAAATTTACATTTTTTGCAATCGATCATACTTTCTTTAATTCTACACCCAATTTTAACTATCGGGCAATTAACATGTTTTACCTGTATCGACCCCGTACTGATTTTGTGTTTTTGTTTTTAATATAATTCTTTATATTAAAAAAAAAAACCATAGACTTGTATAAGTCTATGGTTTTTTTTTGTTTTTTTTCTGTTTTTTTCTTTTTTTTGTTTTCTTTTTTTTTTTGTTTCCTTTTTTTATGATTTGTCACTTTTGATATCACTGTTAATAAAAATAATAATTCTTAAAAAAAAGTCTATGGTTTTATTGTGGAACAAAATCAAGCCATGAATGCATATAAGATTTATTAAAGTAAGTAGATACGTGTGTTTAAGGGTACGGAGGTGTATGGAAATCTAGTAGGAAATAAAATACATTATATTTTTATACTTTATTTAACATCATCGTCATATAACTTATAATATTAACAATATATTTTCACATAATGTTTATTAGCTCGCTAGCGAGCATTGAACACCTAGATCTAATCGTAACATACGAAACACATCGAGCATCAACAAACTGGATACATAGATAATACTGTATAGGGGGAGTTAACACATTTCCTTAGGTCACTAGTAACGAGTATAAAATATAACAAATCATTGTGATTCCCATCCGATTTAGTGACACACATGCACGAATAAAATATCTGAAAGGAGATTAACAGGTGAAGCTAAATATCTACGAAGATTACAATAAGGTATTACACTTGTCAATTATTTATGATTTTACAATGGTGAGGCTGATTCTGAGGTGCCATTGCTCTAAATTTATCTTCTAGCCTAAAATTTTAATTTGATAATTTCGTGTAATTACTATTTTATGGACCATTTATAAACTAAAATTATAATACTTTTAACTTTAAATCTATTAGAAAATTAGTTCACATTGGTCCTTACAATAAAGATTACGCTGTGATATCAAATTGAAATTTCAATTTTAGACATAGCTTTGTAGAAATGGCGCTTCAGAATCCACCCTAGTATCTCAAAAGTTACTTATAAATTTGTAATCTTACGATAGTCGCGCTTTATGTGATTTTATTATATTTACGTTAAGCAACTATCATATTTTATTATTTACACTAATAACTTCAATTAGATTAGGTATATAAATTATCACACATAAAACACGTAATGTTAAATTGGTACCATTTTATTGGAATTGTAATTAAGCATAGAGTAATTAGCAAAAGCAAAGAATCAGTCGTCCAAAAGTTTCACTTGGAATAAATTATACTTTAAGAATAGTTTATGATTACTACTCTTGTATAATTGTTTTTTTTTTTTTTTAATAATGAACGACTAACTGCTTTTTACATATCTGAAGGGTAGCATGTTCTACAAGCGAATCGCCTGAAGATAACAGTATGGAAACATTTACGAAGATATATTAAGAAGTTTTGTAGACTCAAATATATATAATATGGTCTCTCGAATGTATATTTGATAGTGTAACAATAAAATTCTTAGGAGTACATTATAGTATACTCCTAAGTATAAGTAACATTCTTGAATGAAACAAAAAATGTTCACGCTAGAACTTAGGTTATTCCTTAGCTATACATATAAGATAGTATATAAAACTAGAATTATATTACAAGTGCATAAGTAGCTTTATAAATTGATATATTTATTGATCTAGCTATATGATTCTACGTATTTATATGCGCTTTGTATTTTGATATAGGTACTTATATCTGTTAATAGCGCCTTTATTGCATATAAGTTGTAAGTTCATTGTTGTTTGACAAAATGTATTTCATACAAGTGTAACCCTAAAATAATTTATAAACGACTAGCGAATAGTTATCTAAGTACCTACTAAAGTACTAGAGAGAACGAGTCGAATGTATTTGTGAGTAAAAAATACGTGTTAAGTACTAGGTACTAAGTACGGTATAAAAGTGATATTTAGTTAAGATGCCTATGCTCTCTATTTTTACATAAGTTTTAAAACCAAAAATTGGCCGTGCAATTTTCTTAACTATGTTTTTCTATTAATAAAACAGTTAATTCATTTTTTTTTTGAGTAAAATTGTAACTGGGAGAGAGGGTATTAGTGGGTGAGGATATCAGATGGCTTAGGACCGTTCCTTATGGCAGTCTATGGAGACCTCTGTTCAACAGTGGTTAGGTAACGGCTGATATGAGGATGATTAAAGATGGAATAACATTAGATATACCGTTATAAAACGTTGAAAAGTTTATAACATTGTAACATAAACGGCTTCGAGAAAACATTGGGATACAAAATTTTCAAAGCAAAATTCAACAGTCTAAGCGTATGTACTTGTACTTATAGGTAGGTATAGTTACGTAAGTATACCTACCTACCTATAAGTTGAGTGTTTTACATGTTTATCGACCACGTTGGTGCTTCCAAAAACTACACGTGAAGCATAGTGGCATATTTTAATTTTAAAAATAAAGCTAACATGTATTATTTTTAATTTTACATTTTAGC